AGACAGAAAGAAAGAAAGAAAGAAAGAAAGAAAGAAAGAGAGAGAGAGAAAGAAAGAAAGAAAAAGAAAGGAAGAAAAGAAAAAGAGATACATATGGAATATTTAGGGCATCCCAGGTACTGGCCGGCCCCGGGAACAGACGGCCTCGGACTCGCAAAGCTTACTTTCCAGCAACAAAAACAGCCTAGTCACAGGGACCCAGGGGAGAGTGTGATGCGGGTGGAAATGTGGCCGGCGGGGAGCATGTCAGGGGTGTCTCCCTGAAAAGTCCAGCAGGTGCTCAGAGACCACTGTGCGCCAGGCATGGTTCTGGGCTCTGGGAAAATAGTGAACAAAAACGTCCCCCAAATCCCTGCCCTCGTGGAGCCTGTGCTGTAGCAGGAAGAGACTAAGCAGAAGCACACAGATAACACACAAGTAATGCCCTGTAAAGTAAGTGCCGGGGGGGGGGCAGGAGTAGCGTGGAGGTTAAAGCAGCTGGATCCAACATGGCTGGCTGTATGGTTCAAGTCCTGGACCTGGTGGCTTGAAAAACATATTGGGAACTTGTGTGTGCATGGCCAAAATCCTGAGAGGAGACTGGAGGAAAAGGACTGTGGCATGGTCATCCTCCCTGGGAGTGATCTCCCTCACTCTCTCTCTCTCTCTCTCTGTCTCTGGCAAGCACACATGCCCTATAGTGGAAAAAACCAAGTGCCAGGAAGAAACACCACACAGTGATAGGGAGTGACAGGGCTGGGGGTATTTTGCATAGGGGTATCAGCGAAGGCCACTGTGATAAGGGGACATCTGAACAGAGACCGCAATGGAACAATGAGAGCCATGCAGACCGCTGGAGGAAAAGCATTCTAGGCAGAAGGAGCAGCAGGTGCAAAGGCCCTGAGGCAGGGTGGTGCTAGATGTGTCTGCAGAATAATGAGCTCAGTGAGCAAGCTGGCAGGAGTGGATCAGGGCGACTGCTGGAGGAGAGGGAGGAGAGGTGGCAGGGGCCTTGAAGATGCCTGTATGGACGTGGGATTTGATTCTGGTTGAGCTAAGATGGCCTGGAGAGTTACAAGGGGAGGAGTGACATGACCTGGCAAGTTTGGGAGAGGCAAGGGTGAGGTTGCTACAGACGGAGGGCCCTACAGCACTTTAGGGGAGATGGTGAGCCTGGAACAGGAGGCGAGGCGGAGCGAGGAGGGTGAACTGCTGGACTGTTTAGAGCGTGGAGCTGACAGGGGCTTGTGGTTGGGCGGGCTGTGCAAAGACGCGGCTATCATTGCCTGAGATGAGGAAGGCCATGGCAAGTCTGGAGCGGGGACGGGCCATCAGTTGTTTCCGACTCGCACAGTTTGAGGTATCTGTTACCATCCAAACGGAGGCCTCGCCCCATAGCTGGTGGTTGAGGGAATCGGATCCCACAGGGCTGACTGCGGTTTAAATCCCGCCCCTGGGGCTTGAAAAGCAAGCCGGGCACGTGTGCGTGGGTGAGAAATGGAGGGGAAGGGATCGTGCCATGACCACAATTTCTCCCCCACCTGTCTCTCCCTCTCTCTCTCTTACCCTGGTGAGCACATTTGCCCTCTGGAAATAGGGGGGAAAGGATGGAAAACACCCAGACAGCGGAAGGACAGGACTTGCATTGGGCTCGATGTGGGGAGAGAGGTGTCAAGGTTGACTCCCAAGGTGCTGTTCTGGCACAGGGAGTAGGTGCTATTTTTTATTGATTGTAAGGTTTTTTATTTTAAAAAATTATTTCATTTAACTTTATTTATTTTAATTTGACCAGAAAGAGATAGATAGATGAGGGACCAGCAGTTAGCGTAATGGCTATGTCACTGGACTCCCATGCAGTTGACTGCGGTTTGCGTCCTGGACCC